CTCTTAATGCCTTTACCTTTTTCGACATTTGAATGGCCCTTGTATCTTGCATTTACACAAATATAACAAATACAGACACTCGTATCTGCTGTACGAGTATTTTTTCGTAATTTTAAATCTTCATAATTTGGCATGGATTGTATTGGCCTTTTAAAGATACCTTTTTCATGATCTAGAAGAGTTAGGTAGCATGTTCTGCAAATGCTCAATGGAAATTTCTCATCATTTAAATTAAAACTATTGTTGACAAATTCTTTTATTAGATTACTTACCTTTTCGTTTATAAGAAATTTTTCTGGTTTAATCTTTCCAAAAGCAATTTTCTTACCGCAGGGTGCACATATTTTCCTCCGGTTCTCCTCATGAGAACTCATTTTAAGATGGAAAAAAATTGATCTTGTGAGCAAGCAAGTTAGTCAGTCAGTTGTTACAAGACGTTACAGAAATAATGCACGAATTCATTAATATGAATGGATATACCGAGCGGTAGGCTAGAGGTTACAATGGTGTGGATTGTCGATTAATTGTCCGATTCACACCGCTGGAACCCGGTTGAACTCTGGAGGGTTTTACTGCAGTTTTCCTAGTATCCTCGGGGACTCTTGTCGAGAGCATCAGGCCAATAAGGCAAGAGTATAATGAAGAAAAAAAAGAAAAAAAAATGGTTTAACAATGAATATTACAGATACGATTGCTGATTATTGAACATTATATAAGACAGTGTTGAAACTACATTTCGCAAAACGTAATTTTGAGTTTTTTCGAAAAAACGATCAGCTAGGATTTTATGAAATACAGTTTTTACATCTACGAACAGTCTTCTAAGAGCCTGTTCAGTCAATTTTTGGATCCATTTTAATCGAACCTGTCGATGCTTGAGGACCACTGTGATTATGCAGGGAATCAAAAATTGGGTACGAAATTGGGAAAATTAGACGTTTTTTTTCGAAATCTTTCCAGTGTTATAATCGCTCCAGAAAGTCGAAAAAAAATTCTAGGTATATATTCAGAAGCAGAATTTTATCAGATTTCAGGTGATCTAAGTTTCAAGTCTCTAGCTTTTCTCAAACTTAAAATATCTTAATTTAGGTGCGACATCAACATTTCATCCCGCGCACGTCAATCGTACCGACAATTTCCGACGGTAGTGTATTTTAAGAAAATTGTCACTCCTTTATAATATTACTATACATAGTTTTTCCGACAAGTATAAACCACGGTCGACGAGCTTCTGCCCATCTCCTCTTATCACTTTCCTTTAATCGGACATAATCGTCTAAATTCGTAATTCTCTTCGTCAAGTCATTCGTCATTTACTTTCTAGCATTCGCGTACATTACACATATTACATTTCTTTTTCATCTAAAATCGGAATTTTAATTATGTATACTAAGTGATGATTTTTTATAATTGTAGTAATTTCACTAATATCTATAATATGTTGATAGTTTCTTTCATCGCTTTCGATGTGATATTTAGTCCTAAATTCCTTTTCAAATCCATCAATTGTTTCATGCAACATTCTAGGCGTTAAAATTTGGGGGTTTATAATTCCATGCTTCCCTAAATTAATTGAACTTATTGCTAAATCTATGTCGTCGTTCATTTCTTCTATTAACGTTTCAGCTATTAATAATTTTTGTTGAATAAACAAACTCTTTTTGTTATTATTTATTTCTGCTTTCATTTGGTTTAGTATATCGTAGTCTGCTACAAGTTTATTTTCTAAGAACTTATAATCTTGAGATGATGAATCTAAGATCATTTTTATTACTTTAGTATTGTTTTTAATTGCTTCATTTAAGACCTTATTATCATTATATAATTGATCGAATTCTTGATTAATTATATTTAAATCTGAATCGCATAATGTGCCAAATAATATTTTTGATGCGTCTCCTATTACATTTAAAAGTCCTCTTTTAACTCTTTGTTTACCCATTATGTTATATAATAGGGATTCCTTTTTTCTTAAACGACTAAATCTAGAAGAGATAATTTTAATTTCGTAATTTTCTTGACATTTAGTCATGCTAAGATGACTAACCTGCGTTACCCACTTGAAAAATACAATATCGTATTCAATGTCGTATATGATGTTGTATGGGATATTGTATTCAACAACATATACGACATCAAAAACTATATCGTATACGACGTAGAAAACGAAATAGTAATTTGGTATAGTATGCTACGTCGTTTACGACCCATTTTATATCGTTTACGACAACGTTTACGATTTAAAAAATAGCCCACATAGGTAAAAAAAATTCACATTAATTAGAGTTATGTGAATTAAGTTTTTGTTGTAATACTTGTATAATACATTTTTACATGTACATCGTAAATAAGATCTTGGAATATTGGGATTTAGGGCTGTTTTACTCTAAAACAGCTTCCTGAAACCGAAAAAGTGAATTTTTTAAAAAACTTGATGCTTTTTAAATTATAGTCGGCTTTAAAGAAAATAGAACATTAAATTTCAGCTATCTAATTTAATTAATTTAATATAAGGACATTTTTAGAGATTTATTCATTTTTAATTATTGAAGCTCCCCCCTCATAGTTAAACCCATTGGCTGCTCATCCATAGTCTTCCACTCTAAATTGATTGATCTTCGATCGGTAACTAAGTCAATGAATTATAAAACAAACTTTAATCTATATAAACTTTTGAAGGTTTGTAAATAAAAGTAACATTGTATAAGTTTATTTATTTTAAAATTTATTAACTCTTGTTACAAAATTTATGTACTTAAAAATTTTTAAACGCAACTTTCATTAAATTAAAATATTTTTGCTAATAATACATATATTTAAAATATTTGGGACCGTATCAAAATAACCGTTTTTTAAAGTGAATATAATTTTTTATTTATCTTTATCTATAATAAAACTTTATAGTATTTGTTTAAATGAAAATTACAATAATGCTATATTCTATTCTTTTCTTATTATTAACATTTGTTTTAATTGTTTTTGAATTTATTTTTATTATATTATTATATTATATTTTTTTATATTTTTTATCTATCATTATCAATAAATGGTTTAAATTTTGAATATTTCATTTAATCAAAGCGATAATGATGCTACCCAGATAGTACGAAAGCTTGCGGCAAGCTTGCAGCAAACTTACCGTGTAATATTGCCAAGCTTGCAGGGAAAAATTGCTGCAAGCATGCTTGATATAACAAAATGTCCACAGTATAGCAGGTTTTTCGTGAAAGGTGGTTGTAAGCTTGCGCCGAAAGGTTTCTACAATCTTGACATGAAAGATTGCTAAAAGATTGTAAGGAATGATTGCTGCAAGCTTACTAGAAAATGTTACAGAATGATTGCAACAAGCTTGTCGCAAGCTTGTAGCAGGCTTGCTCCAATTCAACAAAAATATTTTTTATATTAAAAAAAGAATGGTTTTTCATTATTTATTTTTTTGTAAACTTAACATTAATAAGAAATTATTGCAAGTAAATTTGAAGGGACTGAGAATTGAACCTGAGTTTGACGGACGCTAACCGAAGACCCTAACTGACAAGCTAAGCAACTAACTGTCAGTGGAAAGAAGAATCTTTCATATGTTTATCAACGTAGAAGTTTGTTTTTCACCGACACTTAATTGTTTACCTTGTTGGTTAGGGTCTTTGGTTAATGTCCGTCGATCCTCGGTTCAAATCCCAATTCCCTCAAATTTGTTTCCAAAAATTTCTCATTAATGTTAAGTTTATAAGTAAAAAAAATAAATAAAGTAAATAACTAAAAATACATAATGTTTAATTTAAAAAATATTTATTGTGGAATTGCAGCAAACTTGCTGCAATCATTCTGCAACATTTTCTTGTAAGTTTGCAGTAAACTTTCAAGGCTAGCTTCCAGAAACCATCCGTAGTAAGCTTGAAGCAATCATTTCTGGCAATCTTGTAGCAATCTTTTATAACAAGATTGCAGGAACCTCTCATGGCAAACGTACAACAATCTTTCTCGGAAAGCTTGCTATACAGTGGACATTTTGTTATCTTAGGCAAGCTTGCGTCAATCTTACACTGACAGCTTGTCAATATTGCACTATAAGCTAGCTTGCTTCAAGCTTTCGTGCTATCTGGATAAATTGAACAACCCTTAATTTCTAGATGATCCCTGTTGAGATTTGATGCATTATTTTTTTAATCTAAAACGTGTATCATATAATTTTGCTCTAACATATTCTCCAAGCCTGTTCATTCGCACTGCACGTTGAGCTCCTTTCACTTTTTCATTTTTTCCTTTACTTTCCGTGATTTTTTGATAGAATAATTCTGAAACAATGTATTGAAAAGTGTTAATACAAAAATAAAAATATTTTGATGACAAGAATAACACCACGATGCTAATAAAATAGGATTTTAAAATGCAAAATAATGCTGCTAAATAAAAAGCAAAGCCTCACAGGAAGCTTTCACCGGAATCTCTAATGAAACTTATACCGGAAGCTTCCACCGAATGTTTCAAGAAAGCTCCAGGGAAGCTTCCCTGGAGATTCCGGCGGAAGATTCATTTAAAAATTTGGAAAGATTTTTAAGTGTTTTTTAAAAATTTTGTACATTATTATGGTATAATGTATTACATTTATGTATAGTATAGTATAGTATAGTATAGTATAGTATAGTATAGTATAGTATAGTATAGTATAGTATAGTATAGTATAGTATAGTATAGTATAGTATAGTATAGTATAGTATAGTATAGTATAGTATAGTATAGTATAGTATAGTATAGTATAGTATAGTATAGTATAGTATAGTATAGTATAGTATAGTATAGTATAGTATAGTATAGTATAGTATAGTGTTTCAAAAACCTTTTTTTAAGAAACGATCAATTTTAGTGTTTTGTGCCATTTGAATAAAATGTTGCGGTTATAATTGTCAACTAATTTATACAAATTATCGTCAAGTTAAAAAAATTCAAGTCGAATTATCGAGAAAAGATGGATGCCAAAGAAAACAAGAAACATACAAGAAATGTAAACGAATTACAAATTAAAGAATAGCAAGTGTAAAAGAAGCCAAAAAAAGTTATGAAGTGTAAAAAAATAGATGTTGAGCATTAGAAGGAAGGGAGAGAAAACAGGACAAGTGAAAAAAAGAAGAATGATGGAAAAAATAAATAAGTGAAAGGAAGAGAAAAACAACAAAGAAGAAAATGAGTAGATTGAAAGGAAACTATGAGGAAAGTATGAAAAAAATTACTTTTTAATAAATCCATTTTTTTGGGAGTCAATTGTTTTCTGTAAGTTTCTTCATTCTCATTTCTTACGTTTGCTCTCTTTTCATCTGAACATCTGTTTTGAAGAACTGACCTTTTCCAAATTACATCCATCGTATCTCGGACGAATAATGAGTCTTTTTTCCTCTTAATCATTTCCCATTTATCCAAACTTACATAAACGTTTTCTCCTAGGTGAACCTAAGATGAAAAATAAATTATTACACATATATATATATATATATATATATTAGCTAATATATTATCATTTTGAATGAAGTCTTATAGAACATAACATATATAGTATTTAAATATTTTTTAGTAATGCAAGAAAATATTTCAAATTTATAAAATAAACAAAAGATTAAATTAATGAAAGTAATTTACATATAACTTATTAATTATTAGATATTAGTTTTCTAAAAATCTATTGTTTAAACATTTTTTACTTTTTCTTCGTCTATTGATGATTCAATATTTTCTTCTAAATCTTGATCTCTAAGAGCAGAACTGGGATTTTGTTCAACTGAACCGCGATATTCTCCTGTAGATGAAGTATCGGAAAATTGATCGACTGAGTGACGAGATTCTCTTCTGGCCGAAGCACCGGAATTTGAGCCAACTGAATTACGAGATGCCCTTCTAGATGAAGCACTTGAATTTGGATTAAATGAATCACGAGATTCTCTTCTGGATGATGCAGCGGAATTTTGATTTATTGAACGAGATGATACATTTCCGGTTGATGCACTGGAATTTAAACCAATTGAATCACGAGATACATTACTAGACGAAGCACTGGAATTTCGACCAACTGAATCACGAGATTCTCTTCTGGATGAAGCACCAGGATAGTCATAATCTGAGTCACGATATTCTCTTTTTGATGAAGCAGTCGTTGCTCGCGAAGATGGTGATTTTCTGCTTGCAGGTCGTTTCTCTACTAACATAAATAAATTTTTGTAAATGACGAAGAAACGTGTTGTTTAGAATTTAAAATTGATAATAATATTGCACACATAGGATATTAAATCATTTTTCAAAGCATTCTTAAACGCTCCATCGGAATAGAAAAAGTTTTACTACAGAAGTCTATGTTGAATATGCTTCAACTCTATTGAAAATAGTTATTACCTTTAGAGTTTGTGTCATAAATATTATCTTCATCAGTATTAGTCAGTTTGTGAGTATCTTCTGATTCCGCTCCTCCATTCTCAGTTTCGCTTTCTAAAGTTAATTAATTTTGTTGTCAGTAAGTTAATATGAATAATGTTTTTACGTTAAGTTTATCGATGTATGTATATAATTTGATTCCCTACCGATTTTCCTAATTTGAAATTCCTAATTTTAAAATTAGGAATTTCAAATTAGGAAAATCGGTAGGGAATCCGATATAATTTAATATGGATTTATTTAGTAAATTATTTGATGAATGAATTTTCCCTAATTCTAAAATAATAAAATGTTCCACTACTTTCAGGGTGTCTAGCGGTCAGGGAATATAGAAAGATCAGAGAAAGTCAGGAAATTTAATGAAATGTCAAAAAATTTAATAATACCCAAAGATAAAAATTTATGAATTTTTTTAAGTTAAAAATTCAATTATTTCACATTTGAATTAATTAAAATTGAAATATTCCAAATTTTAATCAATTTAAATTTTAAATATTCCCAAGGCTAATCCTTCAATAAGTCAATTAATCTAAATTCCAATCAATTAAAAAAATTATATTGATTCCAAATTGAAATAAATTAAAAATTCAATTATTCCAAATTGTAATAAATTAAAATTCAATTATTTCTAATTTAAATCAATTTAAAATTTAAATATTCCCAACGCTAATCTTTCAATAAGTCAATTAATCTACATTCCAATCAATTATGCATTCAATTATTCCAAATTCCAATCAATCAAAAATTCAATTATCCCACATTCTAATTAATTAAAAATTCAATTACTCCTAGTTTTAATCGCAATTAAAAATTTAATTATTTTATTTATCTGCATTATACAGGCAATGCCCTTTTATACAATATACAATGTGTACAGTCTATTTAAAGAAAGAAAAAAAAGAAAGAAAAAAAAAAATATATATATATGTATATATATATACATATACATACAATGCTACTAATGTTATTAATTCGCAGTATAATTATTATTATCAATAAACAATAATTTCTTTAAAGCAGTAACGAATGCAGAGTAATTTTGAAAGAAGTCAAGTTTATCATATTTTCCATTTTAATTAATTAAAAATTTCAATTATTTCAAATTATAATCAATTGAAAATTTAATACTTTAACATTTCAATCCATTTACAATTCAATTATTTCACACTTTAGGTAATAAATTAAAATTTCAATTAATTAAAATTCTAATCATATAAAAATTCAATTTCAAGTTTTAATAAATGAAAAATTCAATTATTCCAAACTTTACATAATTAATTAAAGCTGATATAAAATTTTAATTAAATAAATTTTAATTAAAGCAATACTTTTAAATAATTTTTAAAAATTTATTTTTAAATTAAGCTTATTTTCAAAAATTTAAACGATATAAATTTCCAATTTTTCTAATTTAGATCAACTTCAAATTAATTCGATACAAATTCCAATAAATCTCACTATTAATAAGTAATCAAAACATTTATTGATTAAAATTTTAATTGACTCTAAACTTAATTCAAATTAAATCGATCAAAATTTCCATAAATATTCATTTTAATTAATCAAAACATCAAATGATTAGAATTTTAATCAACTCTGAAATTAATTCATCTAAATTATAAAGATTATAAATTTTGATACATCTAAATTTTAATCAGTTTAAAGTGCCAATAATTCAAATTTCAATTCACAGAACTTTCAATCTATTCTAATATTTTATTAGACTAAAATTTTCATTGGAAGAAGTAAATTTTTTCGATTAAAATTTTAATAAAAAATTATTTCGTTTAATGAGATTCATTGAAATTCGCATCTAATGAATTAGAAATTAACCCCAATTAAAAGAATTGCTAAGTTTAATTATTGAAAAGTTAATGTTCATTTAATATTAATAATCAATAAAAAATTTCTTTGCGAATCAAATTTTAAATTACAATAGTTCAGAAAAGGAAGGTTAAAGAAAAGACAAGGAATTTTTTCTTAAAGTTTGCTGGACACCCTGGTCTTAATTGACTCTTTTCTAAGAAATAATGTAATTTTACTAATAAATTTTTAAAAAATTATCCATTCACAAGTAAAATTTTTACTCATCCATACCATTTAAACTTTGAGAATTAATTGAAGAACTATCTTCTTCATCTGTGTCGTCGGTTTCACTTTCTGAAGATTCAATTACTCTTCTTTTTTTTAATAGTTCAGAATGTCTTTTTAATATCTCATTATTTTCGTGCTCCATTGCAATTTTTGTTTCAAGATTTAATCTTCTTTTGACAGGCTGTAAGAAGTAATTCTATAAGAACTAAACCTTTAACCTCTTCTAATTTTAAATATATATGTTAAAAAAAGATTCAAATAATTAAAAAAATTTAAATAACTTTTTAAAGCATCTTTTTTAAATAATAATAAGTTTGTTTTAAATTTTTTACTTGTTTTTGACTTGTTATATTGGTTTTACGTTTTACTCCATTGGAATTTAAATCAGCGTCTGATGAAAAACTAATGTTTCTTGTATTTGGATATTTTATACGTTTCTCACTTTTCTGCTGAAGAATGTCTGCTTCACTTTCTAAAAATAAAGCCCATTTAAATATATTTTCAATTTTTAACACAAACTAGAAAAAAATAAGTACTGTAATACTGATTATATTTATGTCACTTATAAAATATTAATATTTTAAATTCAAACTTACCTCCTAAGAGAATAATAAATGCATTTAATAGTAAATCACTTTTTCTATTATCACCATACATCCATACTTTGTACTTTTGATTTCGCATGAAATCGGTTTTGCTTTGAGGAGAGTGATTTGCAATACATTTTATTGGAATAATTTTTTCAACGCCGTTGATAAACTTAACTAACGCGTACGATATCATTTTTTAATAATTATCTGAAGATGTTTTTTCTCGATAATTTTCTTTTCAGTTTTCTTCTTTTGACAACCCGATCAACTATCAACTTTAAATTATGTAACAGATGACATCACATAATACTTGACACTTTTTTTTCTGTCAAGTTAATGTTAAAAAACAAAACAAAAATCCGTTGTCAAGCAGACAATATAACTTGTCAGAATTTTATTCTTTTCGTGTGAACTGTCAAAAAATAAAAATTTGCTTTATAGATAAAAATGATTTCTTATTAATTTAATTAAAAAGTTCGATTTTTAAGTGTTGAGGAAAGTGAAATCTCATTTAGTTTAATATATGTACAAGTGATAACAATTATAATGTAAGTAATAAAATATTCTATGATATTTAATAATTTAATTTTATTGACTTTAATTTCATGAAAATAATTATGTATTATAACTTATATTAAAAAGTAATAAAATTCTACAGACACCATGGAGAATTTGAGAATTTCGGGTGGTTACAAAAGATATTTAGATCCTGAATCGGAAGAGGGAATTCCTGCAACTACTTGGTATCGGTACAAAAAGCGAAATAAACAAGTAAATGTAAATTACATATTAATTAATTTTATAAATAAAAATTTATTTTTTTAACTATTTTACTATCTGAACCCTGTAAAGATTTATTTATTTATTATTTATTTACAAAAAGATCGTTTCTTACTGGAATCATTAAATTATTTAAAAAATATAATTTATTATTAGTAATTTTTTATAAAAATTACTTTGCCAAGATGTATGTATTTTGATGTAAAGTTTTTTTTTCTAACTTTACAGCAAATATAAAATATAAAAACATTTTCTAAATAAATAGGCAAAACATTAAAAACTAACATAAATTACAGGCGACAAATTCTATCTCGGAAAACAAAATTCCTGAACAGTGTGATATAGAAATGTTTAATGAGCAAGAAACTAGAGAAACATTTTTTGAAACTGACAGTTCAAATAATTATTTGACATCTACGTATGATGCTGAAAATACCGATTTACTAAAATGTATTGAGGTAAAAAATATTTTAATATTTATTAGCTAATTAAATACAAAGATTATTTTATTATTAATTAGTGAAACTTACTTATATTCAAAAGAGTTTAATTTTAGCAAAGTGAAATAAAATTAATTATTACCGGTCATAATCTGGAAAGCGGGAATTAATAATCATGCTTTCTTGTTTGATGAACTTTTGTTAAAATCGAATCTATTAATATTAGGTATAAATAATTAATTAATTGACAAAAAGATTTTAAAGAATTGAAGAAACAATAAGTTTCATTTATATTTTCGCAATTTACTTTTATAATTATGTTATTATAATGAAAAGTTTGTAAATGTCTCAAATACTTCTTTATTTTATTAATTAAATAAACAAAAATTGAAATTCTTTTGAGATTTTTTATAACATTAAAGTTTATAATTACATCTATTTTTAACAACTGCGCTTTTTTACAGGCGCTTTTAAATAAGGAACGTGATTCTAATATCGATAATAACATTATTTACAATACTGTTATTTCATTAGTGGAAGATCTCGATGAAATTGAAAATTCTACGATTCCCCGTGTTGAGGTATATCTACTCCCTTTCCATATATGTTTTTGAAGAGTTTTAAATATCCTCACTCAGTCAGTCACTCAATCACTCAGTCCCTCAGTCACTCATTTAATCAGTCACTAACTCACTCAGTTACTTACACAGTCAGTCACTGATTTAACCTCTCAATCAGCCATTCACTTAGTCATTCAATCAGTGTCACTTATTCACTCACTCAAAGCATCAGAAAATCCGCCACTCACTCACTCACTCAATCAGACAAAGAGTTCATTAGTCACTCTAACAAAGTTAATTAGACACTAACTCACTTACTCACTCAGTCAGACAGTCACTCACTCAGTCACTTAATCAGTCATTCACTCAGTCACTATCTCAGACAATCAGCCACTCACTCACTCAGTCGCTAACTCAGACAATCAGCCACTCACTTACTCAGTCACTCACTCAATCATTCACTCAGTCACTGACTCAGACAATCAGCCACTCACTCACTTAGGCTGTAACTCTTTCATCATACTCTATCACATTCTCAATCACTTACTCAGTCACTCAGTCACTTACTCAGTCACTCTCTCAGTCACTAACTCAGACAATCAGCCACTCACTCAGTCTGTTACTCATTTATTATACTATATCACATTCTCAATCACTTGCTCACTTACTCAGGCAATCAGTCAGACAGTCACTTTCTCAGTCACTCACTCAGTCAATCACTCTCTCAGTCACTCAGTCAATCATTCACTCAGTCACTAACTCAATCAGCCACTCACTCACTCAGTCTGTTACTAATTCATTATACTCTATCACATTCTCAATTACTCAGGCATTCAGTCAAACAGTCACTTACTCAGTCATTCAGTCAAACAGTCACTTACTCAGTCATTCACTCAAGAACTTACTCAATCAGTCAGTCACTCACTCAGTCACTCACTCACTTAGATATTCACTCAGTCACTCAATCTCTCATTACCTAAGTCACTATCTCAGACAATTAGTCACTTTACTTACTCACTTTCTCAGTCAGTTACTCAACTACTCACTCAGTCACTCACTGAGTCAGTTAGTCAATCACACTCTCACTTGTTCACTCATTCAGTCACTTACTTAATCACTCACTCAGTCATTCAATCTCCCAGCAATTCAAACAATCAGTCACATACTTAGTCATTCAATCTCTCAGTTAGTCAATTACTCAATCACTCTCTAAGTCAGACAATCAAACACGAGATTCATGCAGTTACTCAATCACTTACTCAGGTCACTCGCTCACTCAGTCACTCAATCACTCAGTAAGTTACTCAGTCACTTACTAAGTCAATTACTTAGTTACTTATTCAGTCACTCAACCTGTTACTCACATTCTGAGTTTGAGTAAAGAACTTTAATGCTTTACATATTTTTAAATGTTTCCTTAATTTTTTTATGTTTTCCAGAATGAAGACAATGATCATGATTTGTTCTTTGATGCTTTGGAGGATGTTATTGAAGATGAACATGAAGGATTTAATGACCCGTCAAATATCAAATTTTCAAGTCTTGATGCCCTTATAAACAGTGATGGTTTAAGTGAACCTATCAATAGAACGGTAAACAGAAGTGTAGGAGAGATTCTTCTTATGATTTTGAAATATGCAATTGTACATGCATTATCATTAACTCAAATTTATGATTTATTTAATTTGATTAATTGCCTCTTTGAAGAATGTATTTTGCCACCGACAAAATATTTAATTGACAAATTATTTTGTCCAAAAAGTAGTATGAAGCTACATGCAATATGTACGAATTGCGGCGCGTACATAGGCCATTTCCATCGTAAAGATCATTTTCTTCAATGTGCCCTTTGTAAGACAAAAATCAATGTTAAAGAAAACTCATTTAAAGACTTTTTCGTAATGCTAGACGTTTCAGATTCTATTCGACATTTACTTGAATCAAATTCCGAATATTATAAATATATTATAAAAGACAGGGTGCATAAAAAAGGTCAAATTCACGACATATATGACGGGAAAAAATATCGCGAATTTGTAAAACAGTTAAGTGAAGAAGACAGAAAAAAATATGCTACAGTAATTTTTAACACCGATGGTGCACCCTTATTTGAAAGTTCCGCGAATTCCATTTGGCCGATTTATTTAATGGTTAACGAATTACCCTTAGACGTAAGGACAAAAGAGCTTATATTAGTAGGACTCTGGTTTGGCAAAAAGAAACCGGACATGAAAACATTTCTTCGGCCATTCGTTGAGATGATGAACACTTTATCTACAAAAGGTATCGCATGCGTTATAAATGGTTGTACCGAAATTATTAAGATTTTTGCTTTAATATGCTGCGTCGATTCGGTTGCGCGAGCTCCTTGTCAAGGTTTCATACAGTTTAACGGGCTTTTTGGCTGCCCTCAGTGTCTTCATCCTGGGGAGACAGTTTTAAATAATCCAAGTAATAAGCGTAGTGGAAACATTAAATATCCTTTGACGGAAACTATGCCTAAAGAAAGAAATGCCAAAGATACCGTAAAAGACATGAAAAAAGCTGTGAAAGATAAAAAACCTTATCAGGGTGTAAAAAATCCATCTCCTTTAATAAATTTAATTTTTTTTGATATTATTTGGGGTTGTGTTCCTGACAGTATGCATTGCATTGCTGGAGTAGCGAAGCAATTTGCAACTATTTGGTTCGGAAAAAAGACTAAAGCTGGATTATTTACTAAGAAAACGGTGTCTGACATTGATAAATTATTAAAAGAAATTAAAGTACCGCATCAAATAGGTAGATTAACGCGTTTGCTATCAGAGAAAGAGTTTTGGAAGTCTAGAGAGTGGGAGAATTGGGTCCTATTTTATAGTTTGCCAGTTCTTCAACATGTTTTACCTTCTGAATTACTAGCACATTGGGCATTATTCGTTGAAGCGCTGTATATATTACAGAAGGGCAATATTGCAACTTGGGAAATTGAGCAAGCTGACCGTCTATTACACGAATTTGTTGGAAAGACTCAAATTCTATACTCTAAAGTCGCTATGACTTTTAATGTGCACCTTCTGTTACATTTGGCCAGAAGTGTTTACGATTGGGGACCTCTATGGAGTCATAACACGTTTGCTTTTGAGTCCGGTAACGGGGAGTTGACAAAAGTCGTCCACGCTTCAAAGGGGATTTATAATCAAATTTGCCGTCGTATCAGTTTAAAATTTAGTATGTCCGTTTTAGAAAAAAACGTCTCTTCATCCTTTACTGTCAAAAGATTTCTTTTAGAAACTGGTGCAACTCTTGTG